ATTTTTTAGGCCTTGCAACGGAGTCATAACTTCTGCCCTTAGGGAGCATTGCTTGCTTCCTTTGAATCTTAAAGGAATCTTTAATATAATCCTGGAAGATGCATCCATTTTTTTTGATTGACAACAAAAATTTCATTAATCTAACGGAATAATTAATTACCAAGGAGGGGAGCTAAACTTTCTTAACTCCCACAATAGAGGCAAGAGCCCCCAAGGAAAAACCAAAATTACAACTGAGCCCAGAATAAAGAATCCCTAGTCACCCCTTGCTTGGCTAACCCATCTGCAAACGAGTTAGCAGATCTCTTCACCCAACTGTACTTTATTTCCCTGTCCTTAGCCAACCACCTGAATTTTTTTCTTTCATTGGCGTAGTTCCATAACCCAGCCTTGTCTTCACTCATCCACCCAACTACCACCTCCAAATCCCCTTCAATTACATGCCTCCTAATATTCATTTCGTTAACCCTTTGAACACCTTCCAAAGCTGCAAAGATTTCAGCCCTAAGAGAGTCACCTGCCCCAATTGGGCCTAAAAACATGGCTGAAACAATCCCATTCTCATCCCTAAACACACCCCTGATGCCTGAATGCCCAGGATTCCCTCTACTGCTGCCATCAAAGTTCAACTTTATAAAACCAGTGGCGGGAGGAGTCCAAGACTGATGTAGACCCGTTTTCACTTTGGCTGAGCTAGCAATCTCTTTCCATTTCCTCAGCAAATTGTCCACTGCAAAGTCTGTGAATAAATTTGAAGACTACAACCATTGTACCACCCTGATGTGAATCAAATCTATCAAACTCTCAAAGTTTCTCTCTTTTTTAGAGAAGATTCTTGAATTCCTTCCTTCCCACAATGTCCAGCATACTGCAGCTCTTAGGCACCTCCACACAGTCCTACCCCTCTTCAAATGCCACTTGAAAAAAGAAGAAAATATACTTTGCACATTCAAGGGGGGATTCCACCTACACCCAAAAAGAGAAAATGCCCATTCCCAAATAGTTTTGGCAAGCTGGCAAGAAACCAACAAGTGATAAGCAGTTTCCCCATCAGCATTACATAGAATACACCTATGAGGGGATAAACATGTAGACAGGGAAGGATAAACCTATAGGACTGGAAGGCTGAGTTAAGACTTTAAAGAAAGAGGCACAAGAGAAATAGCCCGAGGGGGTGGGGGTCCAAATTTCGGTGTCTTCCTTTGTGGGGTCCAAGAAAACATTTTCAAGAATACCCAAGAGAGTTAAGGTGCTGTTCAGATCTATATCTCTAACAACCCTTCTTAAACCCAAATTCCAACCAAACCTAGTGTTTGATGAAGGGACAATAAATGAAGAAATGGGATCATTTTTCAAGTCAGAGAGAGCATATAGGGATGGAAACTGATCCTTCAACCCCGGATTAATTACTCCCCTTCTATGAAATTCATCAAACACTAGCATTAGATCCCTTTCCAAGATTTCCCAATAGTCTTATTGTTAAACCATCCGGGCTTGGAGCTTTCATTCTATCCATAGAAAACACAACCTCCTTTACTTCTTCCACCTTAAATCTCCTTTCCAATCGTTGCCTGTTTTCTGCCCCTAAATCTGATCACTCCAATCCTTCTAACCACACCCTCCCACTTAATGGCCTTCTAAAGACGGACTTAAAATGATTTATAAAGGCTCTTGCTGTCTCATCTTGGTGGGTTAAAATTGACCCCTCAACTTCAAGCCTTGAAATAACATTCTTATTTTTCTTGCCATTTGCCATAGTATGAAAGAATCCGGTGTTCCTATCTTCCTCCTTCATCCATTTGCATCGAGATTTTTGTTTCCAATAGACTTCCTCTTTGTGCAAACAATCCTCCAACTACCTCCTTAAACCACCTCTTTGTTCCTTGTCTCCCTCTTCAAATTCTCCCCTTTCCTCTTTCAAATCCAATTCCTCAATATGATCCATTAATATCTGCTTCCTGTCTTCTAATCTCCCAAACATCAAAAGGTTCCACTCCCTAATCTTTGCTTTCAAGAATTGGAGTTTCTTGTGAAACTTCATGCTTTCCCATTCCATCGAGGGATTACACTGGTCCCGCCATTCTCTGACTCTCTTGGTAAACCCTAGGTGGAGTAGTCACATATTTTCAAATCTGAATGGGGCAGGTCTCTATTTGCTAATGTTCATTCATTCATTCCAATAAAATATCTTCTTAAAAGGCAATTAAAGTTGTAAAATCATTATTTTTCATGTGAGCAATAAGAATTTCAAACCCTAACATAGACTTGTTTGGGCTTGCCTCGAGGGGCGTGGTACAAAGGCAACTCATATAATCAAGAATGCAATATGTTTTACATCACATTAGCTACTTGAAGCAATGCAATTAAGGAAAAAAAAAGAGATTGTGGGTTTTACATGCTTGAAAATGCTTTATATGTTTGCTTTTATTTTTAAATTTTCATTTGAATACGCTTTACATGTTATGTTTATGTATTTTAATTTTAGATAATTGGTTTTTTAAAACATTTATTTTAAAATTTATGTTTATATTTTTTATTAACGTTCTGTTTAATATTTTTTTTTGCATTTTTTGGCATTTTTTTAATTTTCTGACTTTTTTTTTATTTTTTAGCTTTTTTTTTGGTAGTTTTGCGCCTTCCTTAAAAAGGTTCGTGCCTTGCGCCTTGCGCCTCAGGCGCAAATTGGCCCTTGCGCCTTTTTGGCACCTTGCGCTTTTAAAACATTGAGTGAAGGGGTAAACCATGAGAAACTGTTTTGAGGGATTACAAGTGAAGCTTGTACGTAAATATGTTACAAAAATCTAAGATAAAAATTGGTCAGTGTATGCTGGCCTAACAAAGATGTAATTATTGTAAGTACTTATTCATTTATAATTATTGAAGCTTTACTGTTATCTATCAAAATGTATTTTATCGAATACTATATTATTAATATTATTCTTTATTTAAGCATTTTACTATTAGAGTATAAGAGATCCATCGGATTTAAGAGAGAAAAATGAGAAGGACAAGAGTAGGGCCCTTTTTTTTTTGAAAACTGTGAAGTGATTTCATTAAAAATCAACTATAGAAATGCCTGTACAAAGAGAAATGAATAGAGGATATACAAAAAAACCAAACCAGCCCAATACAGGCTCAATCCCCCAAACAGAAAATTACTCATTCCTTACAAACAAAAAATTGAACTCAAAAAAAGCACTTGGATGTCTACCTTTAAAGAATAATGGGTGTACAGTCAGCCATGAGTGGATCATCCCCAGAATTTTCCTCAGAACATCTTTTGAGTTTTGAATTCCTTCAAATAATCTGTTATTTCTTTCACTCCACACAGCCCACAGAACAGCTGCAGGAATAATGCTCCAAGCCACCTTTCCAGATTTACTCAGACCACTCAGCCACCAAGCCTCTGAGTCCCCTAACATCCACTGGGAAACATAGCTTAGCACCAATACATAGGGGACATGCCATGTCTACCACTTCTAACCCTCTTTTGACTAGATTGTCTTTGGTTCTAATCTTATCCAGCACTGCTGACCAAACAAAATAGGCTATCTTTGAAGGCACAGTTCTAATCCATATTCTTTCCCTCTATAAAAAGTTGTAGCATCCATTAGTTTCCAATCAAGGTGTGAAACCAAGTTGATAATCAACAAATCAACTAGTGTCTGGCATAATATGCAATTGTCTTTCAGTCTCTTTTGTTATATATAACCTCAAGTGAATTGTTTTAGTAACAAGCATCTTTTGCTAAATTGGGCTTGGAGCATCTTCAATATTTCTTAAGAATGATTTTGGTTCATGCCTTGAGGGGCCTTCCCTCTTCCATTAATTCATTCAAATTTCAAAAGAAAAAAAGTAATGGTTTTGCCAAGTCAGCACATCAGAATGGCTGGACCTATTAGTTTTGAAGTATGTTTCACAGACACGGGAAGGAGTCTTCATGGAGAAGGTGTCAAACTTAATTTAGACTAGAAATTTTCAACTGTCATATACAGAGTACACAACCATTTTAAGTGTCCATGCAGCATCTGGAGTTTCCTAGTAACACTGCTTTTAAGCACATATGGTGAGATGTAAAGATAGGTTTGATGGTTGGAGGATTAGGTTGCTCATTTGCAGAGTTTATATTTAATTTATTTCTTTCTGAAATAGGCCAATGAATTAAAATATTGTGAAATATGTAGAACTTGTACTTCTTAGGCTTGGGCTGTTTGATAACTCTAATATTAAATTTCTTATCCCAGTAGACTACTCTATCTTTCTTGTGTTTGGCATTTAATAGTTCACAAACTTAGTTGTAGGTACACTGAAAAATTAAAAAAAAAAAGAAATTTGGTATTCCATTTGATGTGTTATGGTTTATGCCATCTTCTTAGTCTTTTCTTTTTGAAATTTCAATTTGTTTTTGATATGGATATTTGGGTTCTGTGTTATTATCAAGTGCCTAAGTATTACTTAGCTCGCTTGGCTAAACTGCATGAAAAATATGAAAATAAGGTCATTACCATTAACGGTGGTCCCAACTATCTGGGGTCTTCGGAGGATTGGACTGGATACAGACCTTAACTTAGGCTTTGTCTTGCACAAAGTGTCCATTGTCAGAGTCAAATTCATATTCCCATGCTTGTCATAATGATTTCATTCTTTAAGGATCATAAAAGAAAAGTCCTGTTGGCATTCTGTCTCCTTGTTCCATGTTGGGAAGAACTTTTTCCTTCCATTTCCACAGCAGTTAGAGTCAAACATCAAACATCTCAGCCATGCTTAATGTCCTATATACAGCATATCTGCAGTTGTCACTTCAGGGAAACTAAGAACCCATTCCCAATCAATCAGAGTACAATATCTACATCAACCAACTGCTTCAAGGCACAAAAAGGCATTGGTCCAATTTTCCTATTTATTTTTTGTAGCTGTTATTATGGTTGACTTTAGGGTACAAACACACCCCATTGTTAGAATAGAGGATGTATTTGTTAATCCTGTCGAGTTCTGTGCAGGTGTGGGCATGAGTTTTGCTATTCATGTGGTGCTGAATATAGAGATGGTCAACAGACCTGCCAATGTGCCTTCTGGGATGAAGAGGGTTTTGAAGACCTAGACAACCACGCTAACCAAGACTCAGAGCAATGGAGATGGGACTCCTTTAACTCGTTACCTACAATCATGGATGCATACTCAGACCAGGAGAGATCACAGCTGGCACTCATACAGAGGTTCCTTGCTGGAGGATTCAGCTTGAGCGACCATCATCCTTACCAGTCTCCACCACGCTGTTCAGATTCCTATGTTGATACCATAAAGGACCTCCATCAGCTTCCATGGCTTGAGAGATTTGTTTCTGTGATCAGTGATAACTACTATGAAGACTATATTCAATGAATTAAAAGTGGTATAATTATGGTGCATCTCACCATTGTTGGTAAGTTCCTTCACTGAGATCATTTTAGAGGGAACTGTGTGTGTATTGTGTGTTTGCACATGCCACTGAAATTTGAGATTGCCTTCTTTGTATTTTATCCAGTTATACATTGTCAGCGTGGTTGGCACAAACAGCTGCATTTCGAATTCTGCTGGAAGGTGGTGTAGAGAACCATTCTTCTTGAGAGTGAATGCTCAATGACCAAGTTAATTCAAAAGAAATTTTTATGAAACAATGGCATGTTCCTGGTGGTGTAGAGAACCACTTTTCTTTCCTTTTGAAAGTAAAGATGTAAGAAAGAGTAGTAGGACAATTGCCAAGGGAATAATGAATTTGGCAATGGTATACAGTTTTATTCTGTAGCCACTTGACACTATCTAAGACATGCGGAATACTTGATAGCTTGCCAGAGCCTCGTTTACTTTCTGCTTCTCCAGGATTGCAAGTTCATTTCTAGTAAGAGGGAGGGAGGAATCCCTTGAGCTGGCATTGGTATCTAATATATGGTCATAGGGCCATCCATCATCCTATTCATCCCCCAAAATTGTATTATGGTTCAAAGAAATTCCCAATATCAGCCTCTCAACCTCAAATATGCCCATTATTTATTTAAAAACAGAGCAAAGAATATGTTTACATGCACACTAACATGCAAGGCAGTTGAGATCATTCAGATGGAATGTTTCCTGGTGTTTTTGTAACAGAACAATTTTTTCTGCTTCCTAAAACACCAAAAAATGTACCATTGAGATGTAAACCCCACTTGTGATATCACAGAAGTTGGCATGTCAATTAGGGTGAGCAAATGGGTAGGATCTACCCGGAACTGAATGGAACTGGCCTTGAACCAACCCTACCCAATCTGTTACAGGGTAAGGTCTTGTTCCAAATTTTTGGAACTGACCCTTACCGAGGTCGGTTCTAGGGTCTAGGGGTTTATCCTACCTGAATTGAACCGATGAACTGGCTTTGGTTGGCCTTAGTGGAGATAGCTTAGAATCGAACTTGTTTTGAAATGAACTCCAAAGTATTTTTAAGAATGTGATGATTTGAACCTAAGCACTCATTATTACAAAAGCTATGGTCTCACTTGACCATTGAATTACTTAAGTAATTTGGTCATTTGTTTTCATTTTAATATTTGAATGTATATGATAAATAATGTAAAAGGTAATATTTATAAAATAAGTAATAATATGATAAATTTTGAACCATATGTTAATATATTATAATAATCTACATATTAAGTTACTCAATTTAATCAATATACATAATATAAGTTTTAAATTACATACATACATACATACATATATATTGATGTGGGTTAGCTTGGCCCAGCCCATCGTAGGCTGGGAGGCCCAACCTACTAACGTCTGACAACGTTAGCCACAACAGGAGGGAGCCCTGCTGCCTTCGTACAGAGCCAACCGCATGACGGTCAAACATACCCACCAGGGCCTGTTGCCTGATCTCGTACGGCTCTCATCCGGGGCGTTCATCTTCATCTACCTCCACCACACTCAAGTATAAATAAGAGGTAACTCCCCCTTAAAGGGGATTCGTAACAAAAAATCCTAACACCTTACTCGTTTACTCCATGCACCTACCTTGCTTCCTAAGCATTTAATCTGAGAGATTTGTTTCATCCGAGGACCATCGCGAAGACCTTGCCTGCACCCTCTTCTACTTTGCACCTCGTACTAACTTGAGCGTCGGAGCCTCTACCTCGGGTACCCACCCGAGGCCTCTGACATTCCCTGTCTTGCAGTACCTCTGGTTACCAGGGACCTCGCCTCGGCCTACAGTCCTTGACTACCACGGTCCTCGGAAAGAATACCTCACCTCGGCCTACGGTCCTCGGCTTTGGCTCACCTTTTCCGAGGCATCGAAGTCCTCGGCCAACATTCGGAACATGGAGAGTGAATTTCCCGTTTGTGGGAATCGTTGCTAAGACGACTCCCACTTTAGGATAAAAAAAAAACAAAAAAAAAAAACAACATAGTCTAAATCCAAGCCCTCTTAAGCTTGAAAGCCAGGGTGCGGAGAACTAGGAACAATTAAAAGTCGGTCACTTATAAACAGTTTTAGGATGTCCTCGATCGTTTGGACTGCCTTACTCAACGCATGGAAGAAGTTTACCCTCGAGCAGGAGGTCCCTCTCGAGGCGACCGCCCCGCTGGGGTGTCAGAGGATCAGGGTCAACATGGTTATGTCAAGCCACCAGCCCTCGGCCATGGTAACTCGCTGGTCGAGCCATCAGAATTGGGCAACAACCGTCCCCTGGATTCACCACAAAGGAGCATATGTCCTCCTAGTCGAAGTAAAGCGTGCCCGTTCAATCCAAAGATAGTCATCAACCTTCAAAGCAACACCACCCTCGCTGGAGGGAGGCCCCCCAGGACGAAGACGGGCATCTCGGCCGCCCTGGAGTTCGCTCCCGAGGCGAGAACCGATGCCACATCACTCCCCCTCCTGTCTCGGATCTCCGGGATGTTCTGAATGATCGTCGCTCCCGCCGAGGAGCGCGCAATCCTGTCTCGAAGTATTTGGGAATCCGAATCAACACCCACCGGGTTTGCAAGGACAGAAGCAGGGCCCATGCCCGTGCTAACTCAGGGCTTGCCGAGTTAAGAGCCGAGATTGGGGCCATCAAGGACAAGATCCGCCAGGTTAAGGAGCGACGAGCCAATGCCTCAACTAGTAACAGCAACTCTACTGGCCGCATGGACGCATTCACCCCAGAAATCATTTCGGAGCCTCTTCCCCCACACTTCAAGGCTCCCACATTGGAAAAGTATGATGGGAGCACCGACCCCGGTGACCACTTGGAGGGTTTTAGGGCGCTCATGATACTATACGGGTATTCCGACGCCTTGACATGTCGGACCTTCCAGGCCACCTTCACGGGGGCCGCTCGCCACTGGTTCTCCAGCCTCCCTCCTTGATCAATCAGCTCGTGGGAGCAATTTAGAACCTTGTTCCTCGCCCACTTCATCAGCAATAAACGATGCCAAAAGAGCATAGTCTCTCTAATGTCACTCAAACAGGAGCCGGGTGAAAGCCTGCGGTCTTATATTGACCGCTTTAAGAAGGAAAAGCTCAAAGTTCAAGACCTCGACCCTATGGTTTCCATGCACGCAGCCAGCCATTAATGGACTTTGCCCCAGCTCGGCCCTCAAGTGCTCGGTCACCAAGACCCTACCAAAGACTAAACTCAAATTCCTCAAGAAGGGCTAAAAATACATCGCGGCTGAAGAGGCTTCAGTCGGGGACAACCAAGAAAGGGCAGTTGAGCGCCACGACAGGCCCCCCGAGAAGAAGAGGAAAGGTGGGGACCAGTGCCACCCCGAAAACCATGGCGGCAAAGACAACAAGAAGCCATCGACAACGGCCTTGTCTTATAAGGACTACACGCCACTCAACTCCACTCGCACTCAGATATTGATGCAGATTGGGGAAGAAAAGTTTGTGAAGTGGCCAACGAAGCTGAAGCGGAACCCCAAGAGGGGGAACCCTACGAAGTACTGCAAGTATCACTACGGCATCGGACATGACACCGAGGACTGCTACGATCTAAAGAACGAAATATAGTCCCTTATCCGCTGCGGAAACCTCAAGAAGTTCGTCGGAGGAGAGGCCAGCGCCTTGTCCTCCTAGTAGTAGCAGCAGCAATAGCATCAGCAAGTGGCCGGCGTAATTGATGTCATCGTTGGGGGCATGGCCTCGGGAGGAGCCTTGGCCTTGGCTCGAAAAGCCTTCGCCAGGCAACTTAACATCTAGGAGCCTGCCCCGAAGAAGCAGAAGTATCCAGACGCTCCGCAGAGGCTGAGTTGTCCACATGCCCTCGTCTTCACCAACGAGGACTTAGAGGGGGTCATAGTCCCCCACAACGATGCCCTCGTAGTCACAGTCATCATCTCCAATTTTGTGGTGAAGAAGATCTTGGTGGATAGTGGCTCGTCAGCCGATATCCTTTTTTACGACACCTATGAGAGAATGAAGCTCGCACCAGAGCAGCTCTAGCCTGTCGACGTTCCCCTCGTCGACTTCTCGTCGTCAGGCCAAAAGGAAAAATTACCCTACCCATCACGGTAGGGATAACACCACACCAGGTGACCTAGATGCATGAGTTTCTGGTGGTGAAGGTTGCCTCTCCCTACAATGCAATAATGGGGAGGCCAACCCTTCATGCACTAGGGGCAGCCATGTCCTCCTATCACCTGGCACTCAAGTTTCCCACCAAACACGGCGTTGGAGTTGTTTGTGGGAACTAATAGATCGCCCGCCAATGCTACGTGGCAGCACTAAAAGGAAAGAATAAGGAGGCCCTGTCATTGGAAGGCCTCGACCTCCAGGAAGAGCCAACTAGCCGAGGCCAGCCAGTCGAGGACCTCGTATCGATTCTCTTGGATGAGTCAGCTCTAGAAAAGATAGTCTGCATCGGGTCCAACGTTCCCCCTGAACGCCTATCTGGACTGGTAAGTTTCCTTAGAACTAACGCCAATGTCTTTACTTGGTCCACCATTGACATGCCCGGAATTGACCCCTCGGTCATTACTCACAGGCTGAGCATGGACCCAAGCTCTAGGCTAGTTCAGCAAAAGAAGAGGAACTTTGCACCAGAACAATGGAAGGCCATAGGAGAGGAAGTTGATAAGCTACTCGACGCCGGCTTCATTTGTGAGGTATAGTCGAAGGGCAAGCTCGTGTCGGATCGTACTTCTGGTTTGAGAGTCTATATCTTTTTTTACTGCCTGGGTGCCATTAAAAATGGAGTGATTTGACTATCGGTTTTGAGTCATTTTGAAATCGGGATTCAATTTCTTTACCTACCGAAGACCTGCCGAAGGGTATCTCGAAGCGTAAGCAAGGGTGTGCCGTTGAAAAGCGGATAAAACGGATCCTGTTTTTGGCCAATGGATAGACTTGAAGCAGCTAGTGGACGGGCTTGGGGCTGTGGTTGTTTGCCGAGGGGCAATACCCCAACTAGTTGTCTAACGTGGTTTTGGTAAGGAAAACTAATGGGAAATGGCGGATCTGTATTGACTTCACAAACCTTAATCGAGCCTGCCCGAAGGATAGTTTTCCATTGCCGAGGATAGACCACCTCATCGATGCCACTACAGGATATGAACTACTCAGCTTCATGGATACCTTCTCTGGGTACAATTGGATCCAAATGCACCTCGATGATGAGGAGAATACCTCGTTCATCACTAAGCACGGCACATACTGCTACAATGTTGTTCGGCCTTAAGAATGCAGGGGCCACCTACCAGTGCCTTATCAACAAGGTTTTCAAGAATCAGATGGGGAGGAACGTCGAAGCTTACATGGATGACATGGTTGTAAAGAGCCTGAAGGCCGAAGCACACACCTCGGACTTGGCCGGGACCTTTGATACTCTGCGC